ACAGAGCAGGCTGCCCAGGGCCTGGTCTCTGAGGACACCCCCCACACCTCACCCCCTCCTTAGGGAGGGGCACGGGAACAGAGCAGGCTGCCCAGGGCCTGGTCTCTGAGGGCACCCCCCACACCTCACCCCCTCCTTAGGGAGAGGCACGGGAACAGAGCAGGCTACCCAGGGCCTGGTCTCTGAGGGCACCCCCCCACACCTCACCCCCTCCTTAGGGAGGGGCACGGGGACAGAGCAGGCTGCCCGGGTCCGAGGTGCTCCATGTTGCTGCCGGCCCGAGAAAACTGTGGAGGGTTTGGGGCACCTGAGGAGCTTGTAAGTAGACGCGGGGGCTTGTCAGGCGGCACTCACCTCGTCCCCGCTGTACTGCTTCAGACAGTGAAGCAGGCGGCAGGTGTTGGACAGCCAGAACGAGGTCATCTCAAAGTCGTCGCTGTGCTTCTGCGGAAAGGAAAAGCCGTCCCCCTCAGGAGTCAGGTTCCCGTCCGGTCTCACGGTTCCCCCCTTACCCGCAGGCCCCCCGCAGCCTGACGACCGGCGGGCGCTTGCCGGTCACAGAGGCCAGACCCACCATGGGCATGGCACACAGACCCTCCTCCCGGTCCCCTGACCAGTGGCGCACACACCGGACAGGCTGTTTCCCAGCTGAACAAACAAAGCCAAGTGACACCGACGAGCTGGACTGGGGGACCCTGGGCGGGCGGTCCTGGCAGGTCTGACTCTCAGTGACCCAAGGTGGGAGAGGCAGGAGCAGCCGTGAACTAAATATTCTGGGATCCCATTCATCCAGAGGCCCCCTGGCCCCTGTGGAACTCTCTGGAAAATGGCTACCAACCCGCTGCTGCGGTGCAGTTTCTGCACTAAAACTAATGAGTCCCCTCATCGCCTCTGCCAGGGAACACTGGTTATTCAGTAGGAGACAGGGGTGCCTGTGGGACAGTAGGACAGAAAGCTGAGCAGAAGGTGACGGCGGGCTGGGCATGCTAAGAAGCCTGGGGTTAGGAAGTGACCTCTGAGGTCAGTTCTGGACTCACCTAGACTGGCCCAGGCCCTCGTACAAGAGGTCAAGGCAGGAGACACCATCTGGGAGTCGCCCGCAGATAGATGGATGCTTAGAGCCGGGAGTGGATGAAAGTGCCTACGAAACCCATGGCAGAGGCGGGGGTGCAGCTACTGATACGAAGCTGGCATGAAGCTGGGAGGGAAGGCGGCTAGGGCACGCTCAGGAGGCAACGGGGCAGCCCGCCCACTGGGTGGGAGGATGGGTCTGGGCGCGGTGCTGTGAGGATGGCTTGCATCCTGAAGTGTAAGCTCGGGTGAGAACTGGAGAAGACGGGCTCCTGGGGCAGCGCCTGGGCCCGGGCCTGCTGGGAGGTGTAAAGCACCCCCCCTCCCACCTGCTGGACCCCGCGGGGCCAGGCCTCACCTGCCTGTGCCGCCCCCTGGGAAGCAGGCACCAGCCCCTTGGGAACGTCAGGGAGAGAGAGGGTCTGTGTTCAGGTTGGTCCCCTGAACGTCACTTCAGGGCGGGGCAGCCACGCGGCTGAGGATGGACGTCTTCCTAACGCTCTGGGCCCTGGGGCTCCTGCCGTCTCCGACCTGAGCATCCTTCTCTGGGAACCGCCAGGTCTCCCAGTGACACGCGTGAGCTGCTGCCGCCCTCATGTCATTTACCGGCAGAGCGGAGCCTGGAGGACTCGCTACTGCACCACCCAGACAGGGAGAAGTGTGGGTCCACCGGCAGCGCCCCCCAGTGTGGGACACGTACCTTGAGGACTTTCTTAATGCCGTTGATGGTGGAGGTCAGCAGGGAGTGCACCTTGAGGTCGTCGTTGACGTAGTCCGCGTGCCTGATGCACATGTAGAGGATGTAGGCGGGAAGACAGGGCACGGTGCCCGCCAGCGCCTGGGGCTTCAGCTCTGAGCAACAGACACGAGGGTCAGACTTACAGCGATGCTTGGGGAGTGAGAATCATCTGCCTGCAGCTCACCTGAGAAGGACCGCGCACGGGGCTGGAGGAGCAGGAAGAAGCTGCATCCAGGGACCCAGACTTCCCTCACCCTGACCACCAGCGGTTCCGGGAACTAGTTAAAACCCCTTGCAGCCTGGCCAGCGTGGCTCAGTAGTAAGAGTGTCAGCCTGCGCACCGAAGGGTCATGGGTTTTATTCCGGTCAAGGGCACGAGCCCGGGTTGCAGGTTTGATCCCCGGTCGGTCGGGGCAACCAGTCAATATTTCTCCTCTCTCTCTCCCTCTCTCCTCCCTTCCCTGACCCTTCCCCTCTCTCTGAAAATCAATGGAAAAAATATCCTCACTTCTCAGATAAGGATTAAAAAAACAAAACAGACACCCAGACACACACGGTGCTCATCACTCGGTCTGTAACATCTGAACGGGCTCCATGCCTTGTCCTCACAACATGAGAGGTAAAGAGCCAGCAGCGGCTCCCGCCCGGATTCACACCGTGGCCGCGGTCCTCGCCAAGGGGCCCAAGCGCAGAGGACAGCAGAGCCTGGAGCAGCTCCCCCGCTGGTGAGGGTCCCGCAGCACTGCTGTCATGGGCACCAGCGCAGAGGAAAGATGCAGGAGAACGGGGCCCGGGCGTCAGACCCAGCTGTGCTCACGGTGGCCCTCACCCTCCACTCTCATTACTTCCACCTGATCTCTGCCGGGCCCGGGCCCCCCCGGGTACCTCCAGGCTTGGAATGACAGAGGGAGGCCCCTCCCCTCCACCTGCAGGTAGGCCACGGGGAGGAAGGGGCAACACCCTCAAGTCTTCTGCCAGGGAGATCCTGGGCTGACTGGGATGTGCTGCCAGCATCTCCAGCGGGAACCTGGCTACTGTCCCCTCCGTACGTCCCACCCTTCGGGCTAAATGCTAACTCTATGGGGCGGGAGGGCTAGAAGAGGTCAATTCGGGGAGAAAGAGGATGGATGCAATACTTTCAACAATAACAATAAAACAAAGAAAAAAGTGCTAACATAGGCCTAATGCTCTGGGTACATTTGGGCAGTTACAGGCTCAAGAGACGGCAGGGGCTTGGCCTGGCTTTAATGATAAGGCCAGTGACATTCATTGAGAAGAATGTATTTTAAAGCCCACACTTCTGACCCACAACTTCTCGCGTCGAGCCTTCCGCGTGCGGAGATGGCACCGCCTGTCCTGTTCGGGGCGAGCTCTGCCTGAGAGCAGGTGAGGTCAGCCCGTTTCCCAGAGCTCGCTCGGTCTCCCGCGGAACACGAGTATCTCGGAAGCAGGGCCATGGTCGCTCCCGCCTCTCGGTCACGGCAACCAGCCAAGGCCGGGCCTGAGGGGCGGTCGGGATGGCGTGGCGTTTGCCTGCATGGGGGTCTGTGGGGGGGAGGCGACGGACTGCACTCAGGCAGCTCAGCGAGCGGGGACCTGGCCTTGGCCACCTGAGCAGCGACCGTCTCCGTGATGGTGAGGATCTGTTACTCGGAGGCTGTGACCTTTGAGGTTCAGTCACTAGAGATCAAAGGTTCATTCTTAGGAGCATTGGAACAACATGCAGCCTGTTTAAGGAAGTTTGAGATGAGGTGATGTCACACTGAGTTGTTGGACAACAGGGGGGAATGTATCCTTTATGGAAAGAGCAAAATACTCTGCTACGACCAAGGCAAAGAGCCGAAGTCATGCTCCCTTCCTCCTGTAGCCCTCGGCACAGTGGACCTTGATAAATTTAAATTTCTCTAAAACAATGCTTACCTCTTATTTGGGCTTCAAATGCCCCCGCCAAAGCTACCTCTTCAGATTCCTCTCATCACAGAGGGGCTCTGTGCGTTAACACCTGTGCTATATTTCATGAGCTGGGGTGGGTGGGTGGGGCCAGTATCCTCATCCCCATTTCACAGGTGGGAGAACCAAGGCCCCGCATAGAATGGAGCTGATGGCTCAGGACCCAGAGGACCAGCCCACCAGCGTCCTCCTTTTCTCATCCGGGACTCTCTCCTCTAAGATGCTCCCTCTGGGCCCTAACCGGTTTGGCTCAGTGGATAGAGCGTTGGCCTGCGTACTGAAGGGTCCCAGGTTCGATTCTGGTCAAGGGCATGTACCTTGACTGCAGGCACATTCCCAGTGGGGAGTGTGCAGGAGGCAGCTGATGGATGTTTCTCGCTCATCGATGTTTCTAACTCTCTATCCCTCTCCCTTCCTCTCTATTAAGATGCTCCCTCTGGCTCTGCGGGCGGCTGCTGCACTGGGCTGGGTGCCAGTTAGATGGGGAACAAGACGAGAGGAGAGGGAACCATACAGTTGACCAGTCCCAGGGCATCTCAGCCCCCAGAGGGCCACAGCCGCACCCCCAGGAACTCCCCAGCAACGCAGCAGCTGGAGGCCAGGGGTGCGAGGGGGAGCAGGGGCTGTGCAGGGGATTGGAGGACGGGGGCTGAGGAGGTGGAGGGTGACGGGAGAGGATGGGGGTGCCACGGGCCTGACCTGTCACCAGGTTCCGGATGAGGAGGGCCTCGTCCTCCCGGTGGTACTCCAGCATGCCCTGGAAGTCCTTCTCCTTCCGCTGGACAGCCACCTGCCTGCTCAGCTCCTGGTGCCTCTTCCCGTTCTGGGCTAGCGTCTGGGCAGCTGAGCGGGAGGAGACAGCTGGTCATGGGGGTCGGGAGGGTGGAGAGGGCACCCGAGGAGAGGAGTCCCGGCTTCAAGATGGAGCAGCGACAGAGAGGAGCACCTTACTTATCAGAAAGCAGCAGCTGCCGCTGCCACCCGAGTGACCCAGAGAATGAAAGCTCAAGGAGTAGGAAGCAGGAACCCACAGAAGGAGAGGGGGGAGGGGGCAGAAATGGAGGGGGTTGGCCCGAGGCTGAGCAGGACAGACAGCCCTGCCCTCTTAGAGCCTCGCCGGGGGCAGCAGGCGGGCAGAGCGGCTGACTGAACACCTGTGACGGGAGCTGTGCCCGCTAGGCCCTCGGGGCGGGACAGTGAGGGCTCAGCCGCCCTGGGAGGCAGCTCCTGATGAGGACGGAAGGAGGGAGCATCCAGGTGCCGAGGTGATCAGAAGGGTTCCGCGCGAGGTGGCATGTGCCCAGGGGGGTGGGGAGCGATACGGTTAGAGTTGCAGTAGAGAGTCAGAGGAAGAGAACGTTCTGGATGCTTCTAAAAGAGCGACTGAAACCTGCTTCTCCTCTGTGGGCAGAAGCTGAGTCACAGAACTGCCCTCTCCTTGCTGACTGGCACGGCAGGCGTGAGGCCCTGGGGTGGGGACTTTGCATTATGGGGGTCCTTCCACACCAGGTCGTGCCTCCAGCTTCAAGCCCCTGGAGGGCAGGGCCATAGGCCACTGTCTGTCGTCCCGCGCTCCAGCCCTCGGAGCTCAGAGTGAGCACCGAACACCTGCCGTGTCCCTGTCGTTAGCCCAGATTCTGGTGGGCGGGGTCAGGCGCAGGTCTCGGGTCTGAACAATGTGGTTCCGTGGCTGGGCCGGCACAGGCACCAGGAGCAGGCGATGTGGACGGAGCGGCAGGGGAGGCGGGCGTGCGAGCACATCTGTGCCCCACAAAACCCACCCTCACATGCACCTACCTTCTAGGTCCTGGACTCTCTTCATGTGAATCTTCAGTTGTTTCTTGAGTTTCTTCTCATTCTTTTCCAGCTTTTCTACCAGTTCTTTCAGGTCCTAAAGCAGAAGGTGCAGAGGGAGAACACTGCTGACCCGCCCGAGGGCAGTGTGAGCGAGGAGCCGCCCGGACTGGACGGGGCTCTGTGCCTGGTCCGGAGGCCCGCCCTCGAGGCTCATTTCCCCCTGGTCTGGACCCAGGAAGTGGGAGGGAGGTCAGGGTTCATTCTCACAATCCAGACGGACCAGCTCCTGCTTCAGCTCTGGCTGCCTGGTGCCCTGCTGCACCCCCTGGTTACCTAGGCCCAGCGTCTCCGGTTGCCATGCCACCCCCCCAGAGATACTCAGCCTGGGGGTCCCCAGCTGTGCGGGCAGCACCCTGGGAAGGGTGGACGGTGTGACGGTGGGGGAGGCACTCAGCTGGAAGAGCCACCAGGCTGGTGAATTACCTGGGGCCCAGGGTGAACGGGACCCCAACCCCTGCCCCCTGTGGCTGCCAGTCCCTAGCGGCCATGGCCCTGGCAGTGGCAGCCCACTGGGGCAGGGAGCAGCATTAGCGTCACCCCTATTGCACGGGGTGAAGTCCTCTGGCCGGGAGGCAGGGAGCCCCATCACCACCACGCCTCTGCGCCCAGGAGTGTATGGGAGACCAAAGCAAACATGCCCCCCGGAACCCCAGCCACAGCTGGTGTCGCATTTTTGAGGCTGGCCTGCAGACGGAAGCCGGCCGATGCTCAACCGCAGTCCGCGGCCTGGCGAGCCACAGACCTGCTTATAGGGTCGTTGAGGACGTTAACTATTTATCTTCATAAAAAACCTTTAAAAAGCCTGTCCACAGCACATTTAGGGCAAATGGAAGGGAACACAGTGCTGGCCCAGTGGGTGGTAAACTTGGGGAGCTACTGAGGCTCACGGTCCTTGGGGCTAGAATGAGGCTTAGGGAAGAGCGAGTGTGAGCCACAGGCATCTTGGAAACGTGAGCACGCCTGGACCCCTCTCAGCTTTGCCAGTTGCCACCAGAAGAGACACCACCTCCTCCCTCTCGAGGCCTGTGAGTGTGTCCCTGTGAGGGCTCCGCAGGACCCGGGTGTGGTCCCAGGCACAGCCTCGCCCTCCAGTGCGCTTCGCTGCTGGCACCAGGGAAACACTATGTTTGCTCAGCCGGGAACCCTGCCCTGGAGCTCGTGCCAGCTTAAGGGCGCGGCCTCTCAGGCTCCTCCTGCTCCGGCCCCAGGGCCCCGGGCGGGGCCTAGAGGGGCCCCCAGTGCTGCCTCCTGAGCTAGCACGGTTCCTCCACAGGGGATGGGCCAGCCAAGGCACTGCCCTCACTGCTCCTTCACCTGGAGGAGCCAGTCCGACAACTTAGTACATATATTCCTTCCCATACAGCTTCCTATACACACCTGTGAGAGGCAGGTAGTGACACGCAGATGGGAGAGGGAGACAAACGGGGGGAGGGGGAGGCAGTTCATTTGTATATGATCCTATTCAGGACCTGTGGTCCAGGCCCACTGCACCCCTGGGACTCAGTGACCTGGCCACTGGCCGCCCACCATGGGCCACCTGGCTGTACAGGGGGAAGGACATGGGCCGACTGGCAGCTCTGCTGGAGTGTGAGCCTGCAGGGCCGGTTTGGGCACTTCCTGCTGCTGCCCCACAGGCTGCTGGCCTTCCTGTGCCACCCCTCCCCTGCCCACCCCTCGCGCCTGCCCGGCCTGTGTCCACAGCCTCTCTCCTTCTCCAGCTACATGGCTGACATCCCTCCGTGCCTCCTGCCTCAGCTCCAGCCTCCTCTACAAGTTGGTCTTTTTCTGTTAATGATCCTGTGTAGAATCATGTTTTCAGAAACATGATCTCTCCCTTCTTTTTTTATGTGTCTTATTTCCCCGAGTAACCTGCCAGCTCTCTGAGGACAGACGGCCTTTCCTTTCTCTGGCAGCTGCCAGGCTCCTTTGGTGACTGTCAGCAAGAAGGGCCACTAGCAGTTCCTCCCATGACTCCTGCTGTTTTTCTGTTAATGATCCTGTGTAGAATCATGTTTTCAGAAACATGATCTCTCCCTTCTTTTTTTATGTGTCTTATTTCCCCGAGTAACCTGCCAGCTCTCTGAGGACAGACGGCCTTTCCTTTCTCTGGCAGCTGCCAGGCTCCTTTGGTGACTGTCAGCAAGAAGGGCCACCAGCAGTTCCTCCCATGACTCCTGGTAGCAAGAGGGGTCTGCCCCCCCCACCACACATACAAACACTCTCACACACACACATATACTCACATACCCATACACATATACTCACACTCCCCCCCATACTCCCCCACACCCCATAACACATATACTCACACCCCCCCATACACACATTCTCACACACACACACCCACACCCATACATACTCACACTCCTTCTCCCACCCCCCTCACCCTCCCCCGCCCACACACACACACTATCCCGCCTCGCTAGGGGATTTGTTTTGATCAGTGGAAGTGGCAGAAGGGACGGGGACAGGGAGGGGGCCAGCTCGGGGACTGGGTCCTAAGAGGCCCCCTGCTGCTGCGTTCATTCTCCTGGAAGTCAGCTGCCATGCAAAGCAGCCCAGGGCAGACCAGAAGTGAGAGAGAGTGGAGAGAGAGACCCCACGGAGGGGAGCAGCCGGCACCACACCCAGGCCCAGGATGGACTGTCTCAGATCCTCCAGCCCAGCCACTGCCAGGGCAGCTGAGACAAGCCATGCCACTGCGTCCAGCCAGAATTCCTGACCGCAACACACGTGCTGACCTAACTGCCACGCTTTGGGCGGCTGGTGACATGGTAGTAGATGACCGAGATATCCCCACAACCCTTGCTGGCTGGAGGCTTCTAGATTTTCTGTTCCTGCTATTGGGCCAAGGACATGCACCGTGTCCGTTTAGCTGAAGGCCATCCCTCATCCTATTGTCTCCTAGAACATGACCGCCCAGAGCCGGGATCTGCTGGGCACGGCTACTCACCAGGTTCTCGTTGGTCAGCCGGGACATCTCCTGCTGGACACCAAATTCCACCTGGGCCTCCGGGGACAGCAGCAGCGTCTGGGAGAAGGTCTGCTGCTGCCTGTCCATCTCCTCCTTCAGGGCCTCCACCTGGGCCTTGAGGCACTCCACCTCCTCCTCATGGGCACGGCTCTGGGCCTGCAGCTGGGCCTCCAGCAACCTGCACCCGGGAGAGGTGCAGAGGTGACATGGGGCTGGGTCAGTGCCCCCGAGTGAGGGCCCCAGGCGGACATGCAAGGGGAGCAGCCAAGCACGAGCAGCAAGTGCACGAGCCCAGCGGGAGGATGCTCAGGGGAAGGTCTGTGCAGCTCACGGGGCCAGCAGGCCAGCCCTTCCTCTCGGAGGACTCGAACCCACAACCCTCCGGTGCACAGGATGATGCCCAACCAGCTGAGCCACCCAGCCAGGGCCCTTGTTTGTCACTTGAGCACAGTCTGGTTGGCTTGGGAATGAGAGATTGTCTCCATGTCAAAATGTCACCAGCAGAAATGCATTTTGTACAGCATCTTCCAAACAAAAGCACCCACATTTGCCCCAAAGCTCACGAGACTCTCCCTAAGACGACTCTGGCAGAGCGAAGGAACCATTTGCTCTTTCTCCCTATAGCAGAGTCCCTGCTGGCTGCAGGAAGGCAGACCCTTAGCCCCTTTCCGTTTTATCTTCACCACTGCTCCGCCCACTTTACCTCCAGCCGCACATAAACACCCCCACCTCCCCCGCAAGTCAAACAGAAACAGAGCCTCTGCAGATGACCTGGGGGAAGGTGTGTCTCTGAGTCCAAAAGGCCCAGGGCCAGGGGCAAAGGTGGGAGAGCACCTTCTTCCATCGCAACCGAGGAAGCACTTAGGGAAGGTCCCCAAGCAGCCCCCACGCAGGGAGTTGAACGCTAACACGGCGACGGTGCTCTGTGCGTGGACTGGCCGCCTGCACACGCTTCCTGGCCCCGTCAACGCCACGTGAAGGGAGGTAGGAGGCTCTGGGTGAAAGCTTCCTGCCATGATCCCCCCATGGAAGGCTCACCCCGTCTTCCTGGGATGCAGATAAAGACGGTGTCCAGAGCCGGGCACAGCTGGCCCAGGGCAGGGAAAGGCTCCCCACGCCTGCCTGAGAGCAGCACCAGCCTCCCTTCTCCGGAGAAGAGCGCCCAGGTCGCTGGCTCTGGGGAGAGTGTGTCTCCTGACTCTGGGGTTTGGACGTGACCCTCCACCTGTGAGCGAGGCAGCCTCTGGCTCCATTTCCTCGCGGGTAGAATAGAGCCGGCTTCGCTGGGTCATCACAAGTCGTGGGGTGACACAGGGCGAGCGTCCTGCGCATGGCAGGCACATCGTAAGTGCAGAGTTTATTCTCTACTATTATTCATTAATTACTGTATTACTTTCTATACAAACACTGTAACCCTGGTTTGCCTACCCCTGTATTAGCTGCTGTTTCTATTATAATGGTCAGATCCCTGACCCATCAAGAGGTTTGTTTTATTGCGGGGGGGGGACCCCCATGTGAAACCAGGGAGTTCCTCCTGGCCCTCTGTTCTCTCAGGGCCATTTGGGTATTTATAGCATCATTCGCGTGCATACAGAATTATCAGCTTAAAAAGCAGCCTGCCACATCTGGTCAAACCTTGAATTACCTCACCCCTACTGCCGTGGCCAAATGATTTCATGGGCCTTATATGGCCCGCGGGACCGGGCGTTCGCACCCCTGCTCTAATGGGGCCTCCACCGTGTCCTCCGCAGGCAGACCTCTGAGGAAGGTGCATGCGCCCCGGCTCCCGGCTCCCGTTCTGAGCGCCCACCGCACAGAGCCTCCGCTTCCTCTGCGGGGACTGAGCCTGCAGGCCCCGCCCACCTGTGAGACCCCGGGGCAGAGCTCTGCCTGGGCCCCACGAGCCATGAGCTGGCAGTAAGCGTGTGACGTGGCCCTTGTGCTGTCACCGTTCAGTCTGACCCCCTCGCTAACCTGCTCACCACACTGCAGGCCGTGGTTATGGATTCAGACTTTGGGATCAAGTGAAACCAGGGTCAAATCCTGGGCTTTCTGCTTAAGCTGCAAGCTCCCTAAACACTGCACGCTTCGGTGTCATCACCCCACACACGTGCGGTGAGGGTCAGACGTGACACATGCAGCATGCATGGCCCAGGCTTGCCAGCTGTTGCCAGCTCTGGTCAGTCACGGGCTCAGGGGCCAGCAGGTGTGTGGAGGGACGCAGGCTCCCGGGAGCGCTGTGCCCGGAGCACAGCCAACAGCATATTCCTGCCGGTGCTCGCAGCCGGTCCTGTGGTCAACACGCAGCAGAGCAGCAGCGTGGACTCCAGGCCGTGAATTAAATTCCCTTCTCTGCCTTGTTCTAAAGCAGCGGTTCTCAACCTGTGGGTCGCGACCCCTTTGGCGGTCAAATGACCCTTTCACAGGGGTCGCCTAAGACCATCCTGCATATCAGATATTTACATTACGATCATCACAGTAGCAACATTACAGTTATGAAGTAGCAACGAAAATAATTTTAAGGTTGGGTCACAAGATGAGGAACTGTATTGAAAGGGCCAGAAGGTTGAGAACCACTGCTCTAAAGGTAGCCGTGTGCCTGTGCCGTTCCCCAAGCTGCTCCTTCAGACACAGGGCCGTGCATCGGACTGGGGGTGGATGGGGGGGGGAGGTGGTTTGAGCCATCAGGTGCTAACAGGCAGCTTCCCCACCTCATCCAGGCAGCCTGGACAGCCTGGACAGCCTGGACAGGGGCCGCCCCCGCCCAGCGAACTGGGCCCCGCCCCTGCACCCAGTCCCCTGGCACACAAGCGCAGACGCAGCAGGCAGGACAGACAGGCAGACACAGGAGAAAGGCATGGATTCCACCTGGCAACTTGCTTTAGGCCTTGGTAGGCCAAGCCGAGTTCTCCGTCTTCATTCAAATAGCCCCAGTCCTCAGTCTTGCTAGAAATAAAGGACACAGAGACACAGGGCGTCCAGTGCAGAGGAAAGAGACAGGCAGAGAGCCCAGCAAAGAGAGGTGAGTGCGGCCGAGGGCTGGGAGCCAGAGGGGGAAGGCTCATCCAGTCGGGGCTCCGGTCCTTCCCCTGCTGTCTGCAGCGCGTGGGCGCCCGCAGAGGGCCACCTCTCCCCCACGTCTCCTGTAGGACTCGCTATCCACACAGAAGGGAAAACCCGTGGCCGAGGAGCGAGCAGCGGAGGCACCGGTGGGGTAGTTCTGTGACCAGCAGGGGCTCGGGCTAGGTGGGCCTTACACGTTCTCACTCGGCGTCCTTTGCCCTTTCAGAGGGCGTCTTCGGGGGCAGAAAGGGAGGACCCGGGGATGCAAACAGGGAGGGGAGGCCCCAGCACCCTGGGACCTGTGGGCACCGAGCGGGGCCAGGGGAAGCAAGCAGACTGCATGCTCGCCTGCTTTCCAATGGCATTTCCTGTCACTACTTATGGGCAAAACAATGAACGCATCTCAACCCCAGCCCTCGCTGCAGTCCTGCAAAAAGCAGCAGCTAATGAGGACTTGTGATGAGAACTGATCCTTCCCCCCCTGGACCATGGACTGGGGGGTGTTAGTCCTGTTTACTCCACTTGCAAATTCTTGTGCCCTCTCCAGATGCCAGCAGGCAGCGCCTGGAGGTCAGGCGCATGTCACATGCACCTCTGCCAGGTCCCTCTCCACTGTGGACAGCCTGGCACGCAGGAGACGGCAAGAGGCCAGCAGGATGGGTGGGGGTTGCGGGCAAACCCCTCAGGATCCTGCCCCTCCGCCCCCTGTTCCTAGGGCCTCTGCTCCGGGGGAACCTCCTGCTGGTTGGAGCCCAACTTTCCTGGCAGGAGCTGCAGCCACGCTGCCTGTGTAAGGACCAGCCCGCCCTTCCTCGCTCCCGGGGAAAAGCAGCCGTCCCAGGAGGGTCTTGGCCCTGGTCAGCCTCTGTGCAGCCCGTCAGACTGTGTGCGCCATCCAGGGGGTGTAGCTACCATTCCCTCTCCCACGGCTCAGCCTCCCGAGGAAGGGCCCCCCTGCAGGGCTCCCAGGCTGCTCACGCCAGCACCAGGCCCTCGGAGAAGCCTGCCTGGCGGAGGAGGGAGGTGCGGCGAGCACAGCTCTAGGGCTGCTTGAGGCCTCTGTCCCGGTCCTGCTGCTGGCTGCCAGGCTAGTTCTCTCTCTGGTCAGGCCTGGGGAAGGCTGCCAACAGGCTTATCCTGGGCTCCCCTCCTACCCAGGGCTCCTGCCCACAGATGTCCAGAGCCCTCACTGGCCCCCAGACACTGCCTGTGCTTGAGGCTTTCTGCTGGCCCCTCCTGTGTCCCCTTCATCCCTGCAAACCCAGCAGTGACCGGGGCCACGGAAGAGGAGCTGACAGCTCAGCACCGCTCCCTGCGCAGGTCCTTCGGCTTCCACTTAAGGAGGCAGGGCCGCTGAGTGGCCCGCGCTGGGACCCACCGCACTCTCTCTCGGACGGGGCTGAGGGGCCCAGGGCGCCCTCACTCCCACACGCCAGCCCTCTCGCACACACGTGGGCACAGCAGGATGCAGATGACTTGCCTGACGCTGAGCTAGACCAGGTGGTGTCCGGTCCCTGGTCTAAAGCGCCTTCCCTGCCGCCTCTCTTACAGCGTCCTCGCAACCCTGACGTTCCCAGGACAGCAGACGCCCAGCCCTACCGCTCTCCAGGGAGGGGCAGGTGTGTGGCCGGGCTACCCAGGAGAAGCCGGCACTCATCTCCCCGCCACCAGCCTCAGCGGGAGACACAGAGCTCCTCCTCCTGTAAAGCGCCAGGTGTTGTGCACAGAGAGGAGTAGAGAACCGTGTAGCCCCGGCGCAGCCCCGTCACCCCGGTGCTCAGGGAGTCAGGCGCCCGGGAAATGAAAAACCAGTCCACCGACTGGCGTCCACCCTTTGTTCCCAGATGAGAGAGAACCAAATCCTCCACGGAGCGTCTCCCTCCGCCTCCCACGCACCATTAGGGGCTGAGGCTGAGGAGGGAGCGCCACCTGGCAGCAGGAGAAAGAAGACCCCAGACAACTCAGCTCCTAGGCATTTGCTAAATCCTAAGTGATGTCCATCAATCAACAAATACTCATGGCCATACGCCCCTGTGCTAAGCCCATTCCCAGAGAAACCACAGACACACAGTGAAAGTTACCAAGTGAAAAAGGTTTTGAACTGGGGGACCATGGGCCCTTTAGAGAGGCTGTGGTTGGGTATGGGGCGTTTTGAATCCCTCTAGAAATATAATCAGAACCCACTGTATGTTTAAGCTCTTCCCAACCCCTCTTCCCCAACACCCCCACACGATACAATTTAGGTTTAAACCAGAACACCCTCCACTACAGGAAAACAGTAGGAGCCTCTGTGCTCAGGGCAGCCCCCATGGTGACGCGATGTCCTCGCCAGCTGGCCTCCAGGGGTCAGTCCGAGTCCTCCTGCCCAGCCTGGCAGGCCCCCTCCCTGCTGGGATCCCCCAAACTGAAGACAGGCAAACCCTCGGGGTCACTCCCAGGGCCAGCGGCCCCTTTCTGTGCTTGCCAGTTTCTCAGGCCGGCTCTTGGTTCCCTATCGCTCCCTGGGCTTGCTGCGAATGCGGTGATTTTAAGATATCAGAAAAGCTATTTTTACGTTATCACCATCATTACTGCTGCAAGGGAAGGCAAGTCCAGGGCATTGAGCAGCTCCTAGAAACCTATCTTGGGCAGCCACTGGGTGAAGAAAAAGGGAGCTGATAACGGTGATGGTTCCCACGATCAGAAAGACGCGCACACGTGCTAGCCAGGGCCAGCCATGCCCGCTTGGCTCCCCCTGACATTTTAAGCACCCCCTGTGCTCTTTTTTCTCTTCGTCTCATTTCGTGTCGTCGCCCAAGATCATGTAAAGTGACTAAATCTTGACTAGCGTTAGCACTGTGAGGTTCACCTGCCTTTTCTTCTCTCCCTCCGGAAGGGAAAAGAATTACATCTCTATTGAAATAAATTTAGTTTCCTCCTGGGGTCCTTCCAGTTACCTACACAGTGGGCTGGAGCCAGGCCAGCCTGGAAGTCAGGCCTCCTGGATGCTACCTTAACGCGGCTCCAGGCCGCTCAACCCTCCCGGGCCTCAGTTTCCCCTCTGCAGAAAGGGGTGAGGTGAAAAGCTGTGGAAATCAGGGCACAGGGGAGTCCGGATCCTGTGCCATGCCTGCGGGCTGCACGTTGCTCTCGCGCGCCACCTGCTGGCATTTCCTGGAAGTGCGCGCTGTTCTCAGCAATCCCGGACAAATGCTTAAGGGGCTGCTCCGCATTCTGTACATAGAGGTTGGGACAGACAGGCAGCCGCCAGTGCCCACAGAGGCACCGAGGCACAGGTGGTGATAACGAGGATGACCACACGCTCACCACGTGCAGCGAGTGCTTCTAACTCGCCGAATCTCAATCACCATCGGAAGCATGTGGCTTCGATTGCCCCCAATTCGCAGGGGAGGACAAGGAGGCACTGAGCGGCCAGGAAGCAGTTACTGCGCACTAAGCGACTGGGCGGGGGAGTGCACATTCCCCAGTGTCCCTGCTGCTCCCGCAGACAGTCACTCCTGCCTGGTAGCTCATCCTTGAGGAGGGCCGGAGGTGGCTGGTAACTAAAACCCAGGGCAGTCTCATTCTAGCCGACATGTAGCGGCCAAGTTCTCCGGCCCAACCTCTGGAGTGCCTGGCGTAGGTTCTAGGGGTGGTATTGCAGCCAAGAGCTGGGCAGGCCCCGCCTCCTGCTTAGTGGACCACGTGTGCA